AGATATTTTTTGTTAAAAAACTGGAAATTTGATGTATTTTAGTAAAAGTGATGTATTGTACTTGATATTTTTTAGTTTTTTTCGTTGATATGTGTAATGTGGTTCCGTCCCAACGGTCTAAATACACTCTTACATGTATCGCAATCAGTTAATCTTTGCTATGCACCGAGATTTTTTCGAGTCAAACTCACCGCTAAAGTGCCCTTGTTTCTAGAAAAGGAATCAGTTCGATTTCATTGAAATTTTTTAATATGGTATGCTAGTTATTAAATTTATTAAGGGTACCCCTCCTCTCTTTTCGGGTCTTCCGTAGAAATGCTGTGGAATAAAAACTAAAAAATATCAAGTACAATACATCACTTTTACTAAAATACATCAAATTTCCAGTTTTTTAACAAAAAATATCTGACTTATGCTAGAGTATAGAAAATAGTTCACAATAACAATAAGAACAGAAAATACTGTCCTCATTAAAAAAGGAGAAATAACAACGTTTGATGAAGAAAAATTTTTTAATTTAATTTTTGAAGAACATCCGGAAATCACTCTTCGACACCGACCCCCTTAAATTGTGGGATGGCGCCTAGCGCTTGTTGAATTTCTAATGCTCGTTGTTTTTGAATTTCACATTCTTGTTGATAATGTTCTTATTCGGTTTCATCTGATGACAATGCGTAAAATGTTACGGTGTTTGTTGTAGATGATAGATTTAACGATGTTTGATAAAAAAAGAATGAATATGTTTTTTAAATTCTTGCCAATCTGTTTTAAAAAAAGAAATATTTTCATTATACCATTGTTGTAAAAAATCATCGAAATAATCATATGATAAAGAAATCCATACTCTTTTCTTATTTTTTAATTTTGAAAAGATTGATTCGATTGTTGAATCCGATTGAAAAGATTATCTACCGGTTTAAGATCAAGTACGGAAATAACTTTTAATAAAGTTTCTTCTGCTTGTCTGAAATTGTCGACAGCTTCGCATTTTGTCGTAGTATCTGGTGCTGATGCAGCCGTTGAATCATTTGGTGGGTCGATTGTGTTCAAATTAGCGGCAGAAGGTGATGAAGGAAATGTTCAAAATCAGAAATAAGCCAAATAAGTGGTATTTCTGACTTTTCACCCTAATGAAAGAGTTTCTCAAAATTGAGTTTAGCAACAAAAGTATGGCACATTTTCGATTTTATTTGCTGGGCACACCTCACAGCGGGCAACCACATGGAAATTAGGGTTAGAAACGAAAGCGAGATTTTTCAACATTCAAATAGTGTCTTATATAGACTAGCCAACGGCAAATTTAATGACAAAAAGATTTTGATCCAAATGCGGCCGAGATAGGTAAGTTTCCATTTTCGCTTATTTTTCTACTATTTTTGAGAACATCGCTTTTTTCGTGTCAGAAAAACGATAGAGTTAAAAATATATATTCTGAAAGCTGAATGTTTGGGCTATCGATCCATAAAAAAATTTTCAGTTCAACTCATTCCTGTGATAGAAAGAAAGGTTTTCCCTTCTGCCGGATGTTTTATTCACAACATGTGTCCAGTACAGTGACGTTTCCATTTTCTTCCAAGCTCCGTTTTCAATGTACCTGTCAGGTAATGTGCATCTATACAGAGCACACATACGTAGATATGCGTAAACATGCGTAAATACTTCTATGTAAAGTTATGCGTTTTCCAAACACCCTTCGTTTTCCCGGTAAAATCCATTTTTCTCAGCTCAGAAATTTTTTATTTAAGATTAATGTGATATTTGGAATCAGCATCAAAAACTGCATCGAATGATGTATAATTTGAAACATTTTTCTACTCAATGGAGCACTTATTCGTTTTTGTTACAAGTTTTCAATTAATAATTTGCTCAGAACCATATGATCGTCTCTACAATGTTAGACATGAATTGAGTATGAATGCAAAAGTAAAAGAAAGGAGAGTTACGTTCTCTCTGTGAGAAGTAATTTAGAAGCTTTCTTATATATTCAAATAATGTACCACCTGGAATAAATTCCATAATCAAATAGGTAGCTGTTCGATCTTGTTGATGATCAAAACACTGAATGACATTTGGATGGTTTAATGTCCGTAACAGTTTCATTTCCTGTTCAGCATGACGTGTATGCTGACCAACAAATTTTTTTATAGCTACAGTCTGCTGTTTCCACGTTCCTTGATAAACGATATCGGCTGAGCCTTCACCAAGCGGTTGTCCCAAAACAAAATTCATTATTACTTGAACAAAAGAAACGATACCGAGAATGATAAGATTTTTTATACTACGTAATTGCACAATGTATGTGGAAAAAACCATACTGTTGTATTTGGAATTTTTCGGTGGAAAGAAAAAAAGAAAAAAATTAACAGAGTGCAAATTCAGTGGCGGCCCGAAGAGGTTGGAGAAAGAGGAGGACATAGTCCAACAACGGAGAAAGTAGTCAACAAATTTCCGCAATTAAAATATTTTGTTGCCTTTTATTTCAAACGCAGCAACTTTCTTTGGGCTCCTTTCCATTTCTTTAATTAAAACTTTATTCGTCTTTACTGTTCTTCGTTTCCTCTTTGTTTTCTCTTTAGAATGAGCGTTTTCTCCGTTTTACGTAAAAGATCATATGTAAAAACGGGAGAAAACGGAGAAAATCGCTTCAGAATTTTCTCCTAAAACGCAGAGAATTTTATCAAAATTTTAAAAAGCAGGAGGGGGGCACCGAACGGTTCGTAACGAAATATATGATCCATTGACTGCCAATGGAACTATACTGCAAGCATGATAACTGCACGTTGTATACATACTGCGACCCTGCTCAATTCAGGCAAAGTTCTTGCCACTGGTGGTTCCCAATGGAGCTTTGCTAGCTACGGTGGTTCCGGATCGGTCTATATTCTTGCTAATACTGAAATATATGATCCATCAACAGGATCCCTGAAATTTCCTACAAACTGAGCTAGTCGGAATATCTAGACCAATGGAGCCAATCACTAAAGGTATGCAAAAGAAGCATTTGGATGTAATATATATAGAATGATAGGTGATTAGAACACAATGTACTGCATATATGTTATAGCCAAAACTCAAATTGAAGTTTTGGCTAGACAAACTTAAATTTGAGTTTGGGCTGACGACTGATTTAGCTAACCAGAACTCAAATTTGGCTACATCAAACTCAAATTCCGACTAGAAGTTAGTCTGAAAATGGTATATTTGTTTTTCTTTCTGTTTTTGCTGAATGAAATGATGACATTAGTTTTTAAGCTGACTAATGCATGACAAAAAATGTAGAAAGACTACAAATACTTATAACGACCAGAAAGATGATTTTTTTTTCTTTTGTTATTGTGTTCTTCTAACTGTACTTATACATTGCATTTGAATTCTTCTCGACCGTTGTGTACATAAGAATCAACGTATAAATAGTCACAACTGTTGACTGATGGTCATTCATTTTTACTACACGTTGTTTTGTAAAGAGCTCCTTTTTTATTTTACAATAGTAATATTATCACGTAGTAATTTATCATTTATTTTTATAATTAAATTGAAATTAATTATGTCATCTGTTCCCTCTTCATCGTCTAGTGTACAACATTCTTCTCATGATTCAAATACAACTCTTTTTCCTGTTTCTACTACTACTTCAACGCCTGAAACGGAATTTATCATGATGTTGAAGAATATATTAATTCATAACAAGAAAAATATCGTGAGAAACTGTAATTAAAAAGCATACATGCGATAAAATATTGAAGGCGTTGTCACTTGGAAAAGGTAAGTGCGCAGACTCTTTATCGACTAACTTTGTTTATTGGTGTCGACAAAAATCTATTATCGTAAAACTTGTTGATGTTGTTTGTTCGCAAAAAATAGAAAACCGGTTTGTGTTTACGAAGCATTGTTTACGGTTATAAAAGAATGTCATGAAAGTATATCACATGGTGGAAGAGGTAAAACATTGTTAGAAATAAATTCACATTATTCGTGGATTGGTTCCTAAAGTTGTTGTTGAAATGTATTTGAAACGTTGTGTTGCGTGTCAAGTTCGAAAACCATTAAAACAACCAGTTGTATCAAAACCAATAATTTCACTAGGAGTGATGACTAGACTACAAATCGATTTCATTGATATGCGTACAAGACCGGATGTAATTTCAAGTGCTGTCGTGTATCGTTGGATTTTGGATTGTATTGATCATTTTTCTACATGGTCTTTTCCATTAGAAAATAAATCCACTGAAGAGGTTGCTTCTAAACTCCGTCAATTATTTTTCACTTTTGGACCTCCACATTTGTTACATTCGGAGAATAGAGCTGAATTTGTAGCACAGATTATACTTGAATTGAAAAGCTTGTTTCTAGACATGTGTTTCATTCGAGGAAGACCCAGACATCCTCAAAGTCAAGGCTGTATTGAACGTACCAATGGTGTTTTAAGTATTGCATTGGGTAAATGGTTAGATACGAACAATTCAATTCATTGGTCAGATGGTCTGCTACCAGTGGTTTATGGAATCAATACAAGAGCATCATCAACGACAAAAACAACACCATATGTAATAATGTTTGGTCAACGCCCACGATCGGATTCCGATTTTTGGAAAATTGTAAAAGAATGTGATATAATGGATGAAGAACAGTTACCAACTCCAATCGAACTCGCTGATGTTGTTGTTGATGAAATTGTTGAAAAACCAACTATAAATGAAACTGTGACTGACGATTTTGATAAACAAAGAGAAAATGATAATTTAACTATAGATAATTTCATTCCTG